GTTACACCTTTCAGTCAGCAGGAAGGAACAGTGTGTTGTGTGTTCTGTCCCAAGGCCCTCCGCAGCCTTCCCAAGGCCCTCAGCCCAACGATCAGGGCTATGCTGGGGAATTTCTCTCTCCCTCTGACATGCACAGCACCCTAAGCCTGGAGCTGCGTGGAAGGGAGTTGTGTTTGCAGAGATATCTGAGGACCTGTTGGAGAGCCTGAGCCTTAGTTGGCTCCAAGAAAGGGCTCTCTGACCTTGGGCAAGTCCCTTAAGTTCTCTGAGCTTCAGTTTCCTCATTTGTAAAACAGAATAGCCTCACCCACTGTGATCAGAAGGCTTCTGAGAAGGTAAAATGAGATGGGTAATGTGTGTTAACACTTAGCACAATGCTTGGCACACAGCTGAGGCTCCTTTTGGAGAACCACCAGAAGAGGTTTTACTGGAGATGATGTTGGAGAGATGACACAGGCGGAGATAGAACACAGTGCATCTCAAGGTACCACGTCTCCAGAGCTGTGTGAAAGGGATGCCTTTTCAATGTCTGGCCTTTTAACTGTTCTCCCTTCCCCACTACTTTTGCACATTTGTACTTGAATCTGTGTCTCTATTGCTTCCAGGCGCAGTAACTAGAACTGATCAGCGTGACGATCCACGTCAGTCCTCCTGGTCCTGATTCTTCCTCAGGGCCAGGGGGTGCCTCTTCCAGGACTGCAGAGGGAGGAGGCCGGTGCTCAGCTGGCTGCCTCTGTGGTTAAGGAGGAGACCCCCGGCCCCACCCCACCCTCTGCACACCCTCAGAGGGAGCAGGGCCATGATGGAATGGTCCAGAGCACCCAGAAAAATGCAAACAGGATGTGTGTGTGACTGCGGTTTCCACCGTGAGCTTTTACACCATCCGAGGTAAATTATTTCATAAGTAGCTGTCATGTTTGGCAGACCTTCTTAGAGTTAGCAGACAGCTTTATCGGAACTACGGGGAGGTTCAGATAGACCTTGGGGAACGTGCCTTTTTCGAGTCCTGTATTCCTACTCCCCAACTCTCACAGCCAGTTAACATAAATTTCTATCCAGGACCAGATAGACAGCCACAAGCCCCATATTCAGGTAGCACTTTGCAGTTGACAATTGACAATGGATTTCTTTCCCCCAGAGATAAACTGCTTTTGGGCTTTCCTGTGTACTGCAGAATCATAGAATAGTAGACCTGGAAGGGGACTTAGA